CATATTTGTACCCTTCAGGTGATGTTTTCAGTGTGCCAAGTATGTCGATATGTAACCTGGAGAATACTTCACCGACCGGCAGTGGTTGGAGGGGTGCGCGCTGAGCATGGCGGTTAACCTTAATGCGTTGACAGGTTGTACATGACTTAACATAGGCTTCAATGCGTGAAAACATTCGGGGCCAAAAATACTTCTGGCGAATATTGTTGTATGTACGATCAATACCCTGGTGTCCACCCAGGACAGAGTCATGATATGCAAGGAGAATGTCATTGTGTAAGCAAGTAGGAACAACCAACTGTTTGATTTGTCGATCAACTTGGTGGCCTTTGCCGCGTGGATAATAGTAATGGTACAATATACCGTCCTGTATGACATAATCTTGAACTTCGGCGACTATGCGTCTAGCAGCGTTCCCATTGGATGGCAAACTACCGTTTTCTAAGTACTCAATGTACTGATTCAGGGAACTATCGCGTCGCTGGCGAGCTTGGATATCAACGGATTGATCTGTCAAACTGTCAGGGTTATCGATAGAACATAAGTCAATTTGTATAAGTCAATTTGTATTCGTACGTTTCACCCAGCGTTACGGCGTGACTGTTTTCCTGAGGCTGATGCACAGTCTCAACTGGAATTGGGTCCTTATTCGCGGCTTGAACTTGAGAGGCATTGTCGTCATATTGTCGACGTGAAAGGGCATCAGCATTACCATGGGACGTGCCAGACTTATGAACAATATCAAAATCATATCCCTGAAGTAAGATAGACCATCGTCCCAATCGACCTACAGCATTGCGTATAGATCTGAGCCATTGCAAAGAAACGTGATCTGTGTGGACGCGAAACTTTCTGTTAGCAAGATACACCCGGTAAAACTGAATTCCTTGTACAACAGCTAGACCTTCTCTTTCGGTTATAGACCATTTTGCTCGGCCTTTGTGAGCGCTCTCCCACCGTATTGAATGACAACCTCTTTACCGTTTTCGTCGGTTTGTGAGAGGATGTAACTGATGGCAAACCCACTAGCATCTGTAGCCAGAATAAACTCGCGATCAAAATTAGGATAGCCTAAGATCGGTGGAGAGACGAGCGCTTGCTTTAACTGGAGGAAAGCATTGTTGCAATCTTCTGTCCACACAAATGGCACGTCTTTCTGCAGGAGTTTGTTTAGGGGGGCTGCTATGTTGGCATAACCTTTCACAAATCTACGGTAATAGTTACATATCCCTAGAAATGCTCGAACTTCAGACGGGTCCTTAGGAACGGGGAAGGAGGTCATTACTGACGTTTTGGCTGGATCAGCCTTGATCCCTTGCTTCGATATGACATGCCCAAGATAGGTTACCTCTTTCGCAGCAAAGTGACACTTCTGTGGTTTCAACTTGAGATTCGCGCGACGAAGGCGGTCAAAGACGGCATGCAGGTGCGTCAAATGCGTGTCAAAATCAGGAGAGAAAATGATGATGTCATCCACATATACAAGTGCAAATTTCCAAGTTAGACCCCGCAGCACCTGAGTCATGACCATTTGAAATGAAACTGGCGCATTCATGAGACCAAACGGAAGTTTCTTGAACTGGTACTTGCCACTATGTGATGCGAACGCATTTTTCGCGCGGCTCCCCTGATCTAGAGGTATTTGCCAAAATCCTGACGCAAGATCAAGTACTGTGAATATCGTAGCATGGGATTCACCTATGGTATCATATACATTATCAGGTCGAGGTAGAGGGAGGGACATGGGTTGTGTGACTTGGTTAAGACGACGATAATCTACTGCAAAGCGAAAATCACCCTTCTTCTTTTTCACAAGCACTACTGGGCTAGCCCAGGGCGACGTTGATGGTTCGATTATGTCAGCTTTTAGCATGTCTTGGATTTGTTTGTCGATTTCTGCCTTATGAACAGGTGAAGTGCGATAGTAACGCTGGTGGACAGGTTTTGCATCACCAGTGTCTATTCTGTGATAGTGTGCATCAGTTGTACCCAAATCAGTTGAGTCTTTCGCGAATACTTCTTTGTGCTGAGCCAAAAATGTGACAAGTTTTTGCTTTTGATCGGCTGTTATATCTGAATCTGTCATAGTGATATCAAGCTCACTAAGGATATCAGGGGGATCAACACCTTCAGTTACAGGTACGGTATTTTGTGCAACACATTGCCTGTCTGTGTAAGCCTAGATGTCTCATTTCCGTCTACCTCAAAACTTTCAATGCACATGTCTTTGGACAACGGTTCCCAAAAGCCAACTACTTGGTTACGCTTAATCTCTACATCACTGTCAGTGGGATTCATAAGCTGGTATACTGATTTACCCTGAACAGATTTAACAACACACTTTGCTCCTACTAATTGCTCATCATCATACCGAGATGGAACTGGCTCAATGATACCGTACTGGGCTTTAATGTTACTACACTGAACAGGAAGAACAGTCTGCGTTCTAGCCGGCAACGATACATTACACACTGCTCTGACAGTCACTTTCTTTGCCTCTTTACCTACTAAAGGAATCGAAGGTGCATCGGGGAACACTACGTGATTTTCCTCAAAAGATATCTTGGCCTTTTGCTCTTTCAAGAAGTCTACTCCAAGAATAATTTCATGTTTCATGGTTTCGAGGATGTAGAAAGGGTGTTCAAAACTTTGCTCCCCGATAAAAATCGGCAGGGCAACTTTGCCCACAACTTTTGTTATGTGGCCAGCGACACCGGAAATTAGGGGAACATCTGACTGACCCAATGGGAACTGATCTTGGGGAAAACACTGCGTGTATGTTTTTCTTGTCATGCACGATATCAATGCCCCAGTGTCAATTAACGCAAATCGGGAGTCTGAGCCAATTCTGACTTGAACTAGATTGCTCCCGCCTGACATGGCAGAAACATTACTCAGCTGTGGAACTTTGGGTCTCGCCTCTAGTCATTGATTAGAAGGATGAATATCATTGATATTGTTTGGTCTTATGACAAAAGTTACATTGCACAGCCGTCCATGCTTTTTGGAGAGCATACCTCTCGTACCGGTCGATCCATAACTCGGGGTCCTCTGAGTCGTACCCGGTGAACTTTGGTAGGATAGACTCGATGTGCACTGTACAGGCCATGGCTGATGCAGATTGTTGTTTTGACTTCGATCGCGTGAGCATGAAAAACTCGATGTTGAGAGAGGTACCCGGATTCTCCACCAAATATAACCCGTGAGGTTATATAGACAAAGTAAGACAGTAAGACGAAATGGTACTTGGGATGATGTGGTTTATTCGGTTGGCTGTGACGCTCTCTGTCTGATTCCTAAATTTTACTGGGTTTTTATACAGTAAATGAACATTCCAATCTTACAGCTATCTTACAGGTTTCTTGCCTTATTAGAAATCGTTCAGTAACTATTGAATATTAATAGTACAGAATTGAAGGTGTTTGGTCAACTTGTATCTGGGGGCAGGGCTAGGCAAATTAATAGAACAATCGGATTTCCTTATAAGTCTGTGGGCTGAATCACTGTGGCCTTCCGGTGCAGCCCAGCATCCACCCACGCGGACCTTGTGGCTAAACTGGCCATTCCTTAGATGTGTCTCATTACCAGGAAAGTGGTCCTGTTCCTTGAAGGTCAACGTATACAACTTAAACAGTAAATATAAAACATGATATTTTATCATGGTGATACTATACTGTACCTCATGACTGAAAGCCGACTTCTCATTAACCTTTCACCATCACGTGCAGCGGCGGGTGAGCGGTTTTCAAACTTTTTTTTCCACCGGGCACTTGGCCTGCGTAAAATCAAATGTGTGTGGGTGTGTGTGTGTGTGTTGGGGGGGGGGGGGGGGGGGGGGGGGGGGTAGTACCATATTCAAAAAAGGGGGCACTCTTCAAAACCGGCCAATAGGATAACGACGCATTATTCGGCCATTTTCAGGGCGCATCGTGTAAGGGTTTAGGGCTTGGTTTTTCATATTCCTCATTCATTTCAGACCTTTCTATATCATTTTGGGAAACGGTAATTGAAAACAAATTATCTGAAATTTTAGGGGCACTTTGCTAAATTGGGGGGGGGGGGGGGGGGGTGGGGGGGGGGCAAGTGCCTCCCCCCCCCCCCCCCCCCCCCCCCCCCCAGTTCCGCTGCCCCTGATGACATGCTATTTTGCTGTTTGCTTAAGCGCGACGGTAAATACACATACGTAGTAGACTGTCTTATGGGTTACCTGTGCGATAGTCTACAATGCATGCGCTTTACGAAGCACATGTGAAACTGTCGCACGGGTGTACTACGCATGCGTGAACATCGCCCTAGCTAGCTACACATGAATAGATGGTTGCACGCGTAAATATTAATTACGTGTAGCCTATTCCCGAGTTCAATGATACCAAACTTAAAAATATTTTTGACAATAAAGATTTGCAACTGTATTTACAACCTTGGTTACAGTATTGCAAACAAACTGAACTTTTCTGAGGTTCAGCGATAATATTCTTCTGGTGAGCTGGACAAGTTTCTCCAGAGATATTTTGCCCTTCAGGTGCATGCTACTGCAACAGTAAAATTCGGCAACTGAATATGTATGAGGTATAGAAAAACAAATATAACATGGTTCATTTCGGGTGGACAGTTGATATTAGCTCCCCTCGATATTTAGTTTGTCAACTTCCAATACTTCTGGGGCGAATATCGACTGTACGCCGCCAAACCATGTTATATTTGTGTAATGTTGTACAAACAATCCAGTGGAAATACCTATTGTCTAAATGTATGTTACCTAGAGATGGGCTACAAATTAGAAAGAATAGAAAAAACGGGAAAGGGCACGGTGGGAGAAGGTATCTGTTCATCACACTTTCTTTAAATTGTTAAAGATAATAGTAGAAGGGAAGCAAGATTCAGGAAGGAAATTCAAAAGGTGGCAGGAAACTCCCAAAATTGACAGAGATTCTGAGGTAAATCCATGGAATCAGGATGCAATAACAAGTTGATTTCATTTGTCTGATTTATGTTTTCAGTAACCGAACCACCTGTGGCAGCTGCAACATGTCCCACACCATCAGTCCCCAATGCCCTCATCTACCACCGTGGCCAAAACATTGCCACAGCAGGCTTTGAAATCATCTTTGGTAATCGTGATGAGATTGAGGTTCGATGTAATACAGACTTCACAGTCAATGGCAGGGAGGCAGTGACTGCTACTTGTTGGAATGGAGCCTGGACGCCTGCACTACCACGTTGCGGTTAGATAAATTGTCTTATGTCTTTCTTGGTCATTTAAATACCACATTAAAAAAAATGAATTACCTCATGACTTTGGATGTAAGGCGCTAGTTATTTTGTTATATTCTGTCGGTGGGGGCGTTGTTCAAAACCGACACTTATGCACACAAAGGGCCAATAGATGGTGCTTTTCAGGGCGATGCATGTGCAAAATTCTGAAAAAGGCACCCAAAACGGCTGATGCCACGAAAAAGGGCACCACTTCTTTTTTGAAAAGGGCACTTGTTAAGAAAAAAAGGGCACTTCGTAAAAAAAGGGCACTAGTTACAAATTATTGGGGGGGGGGGGTAAGCACGTTGAAAAAATGTCATTTCAATGGAAAAAGGCAGTTATTTTACAAAATATTCGGGGGGGGGGGTAAATACCCCCTAACACCCCCCACCCCCACCCCCCCCCCCCCCCCCCCCCCCCCCACCCCCCGGGTACGCTTATGCATTGAATCAAGTTCAGTTATTCTCTTTAAAATGAAATCACGTTACTGACTTCAATAATGGATTAAACTGGACAAAAGCATAATTGTTGCTGTGTGTAGGAACTGTATAAAGGCCTGTGTTGCCTGTTGCACTACTGCGCAGAGATTGGTAAGCCCTCCATTACATATTTTGGTAAATATCTATGATTTAATATTGAATCTTTAATGTCTTTGTTGTATGACAGAGGTTACATACAAGCGCTCTTGTTCTCGTCCTGGGAAGATCACGAATGTAACACAGTATGTTGACGATTCAACCAAGCTACTTGACACCCCTCGCCCTTCGTTCTTCCACGGCTCAACCATAATGTCACGGTGTAAGGATCCACGAACGATGACACTGGTAACTGGTCCGCTTCGCACCTGTAATGACGGCAGATGGACTGGACCTGTGCCAGTATGCGGTATGTTTTACTTTATTCAATTGGTATTTGATTGAACGAAAACAATTGTATTGACCAAGATTTGAATGTGGGTACTCTGTATCAATATACTTCTGGTGCTCTATTTCGCCAGATTTCCAATACCCATTTTTTTCCCTATAAAATTAATATTTATGAATAGAAACCATATGTACCAAGTGGCCTCCGATCCTATCCATAATTACGGTGATGTAGCATGTGGTTAACACTCAGATGACAGGATAAGGGATATTATTACTAAGGCCAAGTTTCATTGAAAAAAATAGTAAATTTAACAATGAAATTCACTAGAGAGGAATTTAAACCTGCGTTTTACAGAACACTCTTAATTCAAGGCATACTTTGGTTTCCCAAATTGCTCAGCGTCGCAGGGCACAACTCGGAAACCATGAAATCAAACATGATCTTTGCGATTTTGTGCATCAAGATCTGGAGGTGTTGCTTAAAGTAATATCCTCATCCTATTCATGGCAGAGCGGGCATCAACAAGCTTCAGCCTCCCAGCCTTAGATACCACGCTCCATCAGTTCATGGCTAATGGAACCTTGCTCATCTACCCTGGTGTTGGTCAGTTGAATGTGGATTGCATCGTCTCCAGCGGTTACCCTGTTTTGGAACACAGTCACTCACAACAATGGACTTTAGGTGGTCAAGGAAAAAAGAAGTATGGTGTGCCTGCAGAAGGTCACTCAGGGACTTACACCTGTAGGAAGGTTGGGTGGCCAACTGTATTTCATCGGCTTATGATACAGATAAGAGGTAAGTAAAGCTGTCACCAGTTGATCTTAGTGAAAACATGCAATATTAGCATTTGAATATTTTAAACAAAAGCGGGTGCTGTTCAAAATACAAATGTACATTTTAGGCAATATTGTGTGTTTAGACGTCCCTTAGCATTACATCAAAACGGTCCATTTAAAGATTTGTACTTTATGTTCTCCGTTTTTTATATCTAATTAATACATTAAGACTGTTCAAAAGATAAAGAAAATCTCACAATGGATTGTTTATGTCACTACAAAAATAGGGGGAAGATGATCCAGTATGGGGGAAAATGTCACCCCTGGGATTAACGCCGTTTACATTAACTTTATAAAGTAAAAACAATCACAAGCAACTGAAATATTAACAAGGCTGAACATCATCTATCCCTTACCATTAAGAGTGGGCTTAAAAAAAAACATTTTTTGGATAAATTTATGATTCATGGGAAAGCAAGTTATTTGGCATTATTGGCTAATGATTCATTTTGAATGTTGCAGTACAGGATATAATGTTTTGAATGCAGGTCTTTAATTGTCCGCTGTTCTTATTCTTTATTCTCCAACAACAACTTTCATGTAGCTGTTCCTGTCCAGAGCCAGGGCCCCCGTTAAACGGTCGTCGTATCGGTGATGACTTCCGCCTCACAAAGTCAGTGTTATTTGAATGCAACGAGGGCTATGATCTCATCGGGGAACGGACGATCAAATGCAAACTTGGTGAATGGTTGGGAGAAATACCACGCTGCAGAGGTGAGTGAATGAGGCTTCCAGTTCTATAATCTGAGTGTATTATTTGCACTAAGAAACACTCTAGCCTATATAGCTATTGCCAGATTCAGATACGTGCATATTCAGTGTACGTGTACCTGATGAGTTTGTTTTGGAAAGTTGGAAAGACAGGATGCTATGGGTTCACAGCTGTTAAAATGTCATAGGTTGTCATATACAGCAAATTTTGATAGTATTGTGCCACTCACACATGAACGCCTGAGAAAGACATTGCACTTGTGTTCACTGGTTCTGTTTGTGTGTTTGTATGGCTGACAGTGTTGTAGCACTCGTACTCGTACTCGTACTCTTTTGAGTCGTACTCGAGTACTTTTTTTCCGTACTCGTACTCATACTCACGGAAATGTGCTCGAAATCGTACTCGCAGGATATTTTTTCCTGTACTCATATTGGTACTCGTACTCATGGCGAAGTATTCGTACTCGTACTTATGGAAAAGTTCGTGTACTCTTAACAATACAGCATAATAAAGGCATGTTCAGCACGCTGTTGATTGTCTTTTCTATGCACAGCTAGCTACATAGCTAAATGCTCAATGCTTAATACAGTCTACCAGTACAGGGCTGCATTTTATGGTAAAAACAATGCTGTCATAGCCTGTAAAACCACACTTCTGGACACACTGTACAATACAAAGTATGTACATTATACATACACTTCTTGAAGTGCAACAAACATGTTTTAAAAAACTGTTTGTGCTCCAAAGTTAACGGTATGTTTGTTTAATCTTTCAACCCAGCGAGTTAGTAACAGAATTTGTAAGAATGACATTGTTTTGGATGTCAAACAGGCACCCCCCTCCCCCATTCAAAATAAAAAGTTACAAATAAAAACATTACAAAACACAAATCTTTCTGATTGTTGGAAGTTCAAAAATATAAGTGATTGACTCCTAGCAAGATAACATTTAATGGTTTGTTGGGAAAATTAAAGACGGATTGAAATCATACAGAGAGCAAGTTTAAGCACCAACCATTAAACACTTTGAATCTTATCGCACGCTTGTCCTGAAACTTTTGTTATTGAATGCATGACTCCAGTCATACCTGTCTAATGAAGTAAATAAATGTCAAACTGTTCCATTTCTCCCGCTCTTGTTAAAGTTCTACACTTCAGGGTTCCATTCAGTTGTCCAATCGTGTAAAATTGTTTGGGTTTAACAAAGGGTTCGCATTTGTTTTACGCTCATGAACTATCTTGTTTTTTTCATTTTGCCTGTGTGACTGAAAAGTATATAAAAGGGAATATTTGTACCCATGGAAACGTACTAAAAAGAGAAAAAAAAATAACAACTAGAAATGTGTTTGTGGACAAACACAAGCTGTTTCGGATATTTAAAATACTCTGAGCACGGGATGAACAATCAGTGACGTCACTGTAAATGTCATTTAGCACATTATAATATGTACATGTCAAGTTAATAATATGTACATGCCAAATCGAACAGTTTAGTGCTGTAGATATAGAACTATAAAAGAATAAAATGCCACATTAAGGGACTTCACATGACATTAATTTGATGATGATGTCACTTCAATTTTCATCTATAACACATCCATGTGAATATGTATACCAAGTTTTAACCCAATCAGACTTGTACTTCCGAAGTTCAGTTTGAAGAAAAACGTTTACAAAACCAATGGAGAAACAATGCATCTTTAATGTGATGTAACCTGACTCCTCATGACGCCACGATGACGAATTTCTTCTAGGACCATCTATGGGTAGTGGTCTAAGAGTGTACCAAGTATAATAAAAAGTCGATCAAATTTACGAAAGTGCCAAAGTGGAGCGTTTTAAAACGTGTACAAAACCTATGGGGAAAATGTGCATCTTTAATGTAAAGTAACGTGACCCCTGATGACATCACGATCACAAATTTCTTCAAGGACCATCTGTGGGTAATGGTCTAAGTGTGTACCAAGTGTAACGCCGATCGGATTTACGAAAGTGCCGAAATGGAGCGTTTTAAAACATGTACAAACCCTATGGGGAAAATGCATCTTTAATGTGACACAACCTGACACCTGATGACGTTTCTTCTAGGACCATCTAGGACCATCTGTCTTGCTGAAGTGTATATGTGATGCGATCAAGCAAAATGAGTCGTTTGTCGGGAATTTTCATTTGAGATTCAGGCCGAAATAGGGCCACTTCATTACACACTTCATCACATCTCTTGGTGTTCTGACTTCCATAATTTTTGAACTAAAGATGGTATCAGCATGCAGTTTTAACAGCAGTTATGCTGAGATTGTGCTCTTTTCAAATCTGTAAAATAAAAACAATTACCAGGGTTGACAAACAACTTATTTAGCTTGATTGTATCACAAAACATAGGAACTCAAAAGCGCTAATTGTTGTGTCTTTTCCTAAAGATTCTTGCTTCAGACCAGCTGTTGCCGGTAGTAACGTGGAGGTGCAAAGCTTGGGGCATGGCGGTACGGCCCGTGTTACATGTGACCAGGGCCTGAAACCAAGTTTTGGATATGGTGGTCTACGTTGCCAGGCTG